GACAGTCATCTTTCATTTATCGTTTGATTCTCGCCTCTTTGTTGAGGTACAAGACCATCCAGTGTACCGGTTGAGCAGGAGTACCGGTTGAGCAAGGCATGAAATCCATGCTTGGGCTCGGTTTCATTGAGCAACGCTTTTCTTACAAACTTTTCCAGCAAACGTAACTCTGGGCTGTTGTCAGCAGCACGACAGTGTTTCAACCTAGGGGCCGGGCCCAGTCTCTTGCAACCTAGCAGGAGAAAATCGCAGAGCGTTGGATTGCAAGGTGTCGACTTCAGCCCTGCAGGGAAAGAAAGCACCTCCTCCTCCTCATCAACAGGCATCGGCTCGGCATCATCAGGAGCCATCCACTCTATTGGGGTTGCCATTGTGAAATGGTTGAAATGGCCATGGTTCCGAGGCTTCAAACGCGAAGGGACTTCGGCAAATCCCCCTGGCGAGTGGAGGTGATAGAAATTAGCTTTCGTTCGGAAACTATTTTCTATTATCTGGTTTATGACGGAATGCAAAAACAAACGGAGCGGAGCGGGGCGGAACGGGGCGGAGCGGCGGCGGAGTGGAGGCGTCAATTTCTATTGTGCGGTTTATGATGGAATGGTAACCAGTGAATACCAATCGCCAGTATTGCATTCCGTTCATTCCGTTCTGTTGCAGTATCAACGGTTCCCGCACGCTGAAACAAGTTCGTGAAAAAAACTTTCTAACGACGTAAGCCACGAATTGAAGCTATGCGGAGGCCTTGGTTCTCGCCCAAGAACGCGCAGAGGCAAACAACATGTTTTCTATGGTCTCGTTTTGACGAAATGCGATTCAATAGGAATGTCAACCTCTGACAGTACTCTTTGATTTATCGGTTGATTCTCGCCTCTTTGTTGAAGGTGCAAGATCATCACGTGATTGTCTTTCTCGCCTCATCATTACATAACCACGATGGAAGCACGAGACTGGTCGACTGGTCTTTCCCGCCTGGTTGTCCTTCCGCCTGACCTGCCCGAGACCATCCGGATCGGAACGAACGATGCCATCAAGAGCTTCAAACTCAGTCCGAACGAAAGTGTGGAATGTTAAATGATGGTCTTGTTCGCGAGAGTACTTGTTCAGCAACGCATGAAATCCATGCGGTGACTTGCTGTTCTTGAGCAGCACTGTGCTTACAAACCAAATCGACAAAACAAAAAACGTGTCTGACCAGACTTGAGGCGATACTGTCGCATGAAAAACCTATTCGGGCGCCTGGAGTCACTGAATGTGAAATGGCTACGGGTATGCACGGTTTAAGAGTTTATCGTGAATGAATGGCTACGTTTGTGTCCACTACACTGAGGTGGCTTTATTCTAGAAATCATTGGCTATCAGTGTGGAATGTCAAATGTTTTTGTTTTTCGTAAGAGTACCGGTTGAGCAAGGAATGTCAGAGACACGTTGCTGGTGCCGGTGCCGGGTGCCGGTGCTGGTGCTGTGAGCTGGCTGTGCGCGTGGTGGAGAGAGGTCGCTGGTGCTGGTGCCGGGTGCCGGTGCTGGTGCTGTGAGCTGGCTGCGCACGTGGTGGAGACACGTTGCGGCCTTTCTACGCACCCCTTTGGATGACGGCACATGCCCATCGATAACTGAGATGGTTGTAGCAGCTGTCCCTGACGAGATGCGAAAGTCTTCCCTAGTGCTCACCAGTGGGCAAGTCCTCTTCCCGTTTGAAGACTCGCCACAAAAAAACATGATGGTGTCATCTTACATGGCCGAAGTGCCCCACAACGAGCAATGGTCTATCGCGTCCTCTATCAGACAGAATGCCTTCCCTCTCCTGGGTGTGCAGTCGGCCTAGGGCAAGCCAGGCCTCCTGAACCGGGGGAAGCCTTTGTTGCTTTCCCTTTCATGCAGCTGCACGCCTTGCCAGCGGTACCTGCAACCACAAACCGCCCCGCGCCACCAATCCCGCCATGGCTTAAGCCGCAACCTGTTCCTGTCCTCCCCCAATCACAGCCTGCAGGATTTGGTGGAGCCAAGGGCCTGCCACAAACCAATGCACCATGCTCTTCTGACATCCAACGCACTCTACAGAACCTTCACAGCAACCGGCAGCATCTCTGTGTTCAGCCAGGGATCAACGCGTGTTGGACGCTTACCAGCGAGATGGACACGATTTTGGGCGCCGTGCCCTGAAAGACAAGCTTTCTCACAGGCGTGCCGCCCTGTTCAGGCTCGAAGGTCAGTAGTTGCGCTCAGTTCTCCTCGTAGCAAACTCTCGTCGACAGTCTTCGCTCAATGGCCCTCCCTTTCATTGTTGGCCCCCATCAGTACTCTCATGGCCCTGACGGCCGGCCACAAGTGGAAATTGTCTTGCGTATACGACTGCCGCTTGCCGAATTTTTTGATGCCCTCCTACTGTCGCTGGCGGATCAACGCCCCCTTTTTCAGCAGTCAGAGTATGGAACTGCCCAAGCCTCTCCTGCCCCGGTCACAGCGGGACTACAGACAGGTGGTCACATTGGCCCCATGCCGAGAGAGGAGGCCCCCCCGTACCGGAAGGCAGCCAGCTGTGCTCCGCCAAAGAGGTCTCCTCCAGGAGCGCCAGTGCGTCCGCCCAAGCACGCTCCCAAAGTGGACCCAACTCATGAGAAGCTCCTAGCAGTGCTCTCACAAGCTACGAGTATCCCTGACACGACGGCGGTAGGGGCAGCCACTATGACCCAAGACCTACCCACTCCCAACATCAATGCAGGGAGAGTGCTGGTGCTGGTGCCGGGCGCCGGTGCTGGTGCTGGGCGCCGGGTGCTGGTGGTGGTGCTGGGTGCCGGTGCTGGTGCTGGTGCTGTGAGCTGGCTGCGCGCGTGGTGGAAACAGGTTGCTGGTGCCGGTGCCGGGTGCCGGCGCTGGTGCATGGCTGTGCACGTGGTGGAGACAGGTTGCTGGCGCCGGTGCTGGTTCTGGGCGCCGGGTGCCGGTGCTGGGGGCTCCTGGCCTTACTACTAGGAACAAGGACGCTACTAGGGTCTTCAAAGACAAAGTCCTTCCAGTCTCCAAGGAAGGTCTCAAGCTCGATGCTCATAGCCAGGCTCAGAGGCACCAGGTGTCTTTTCTCAAGACTTCAATCTCAGTAAACTGACGTGAAGGTAAGTCTTGTGGATGTAACAATGTATTGCTTGGTTTGGCAATCAGGAGGCTAAGCTAAAGGAAGAAAACTGCCGAATGGTCGGGGGGGAGTCTGGACTTTGGGCGTTGACGGCCTCCATGAGCTCGATGAGCCATCAGCTCCAGATGCAAAAGCCGTCAATGCGCAAAGCATGCACCGTATGCAAGACATTTTTGAGTGGATCTGCAAGGCTCTGCTGCAGCGCCGCTACAACTCCCGTACTACCCTTACTCTCCTTTCACTTCTGCTTGGCTTGCAACTGTCAAAACATGGGCTTGCTTGTTATCGCATAGCTCTAAACCCGCGCAGCGCGCTGCTGCAACGCTTCCGTGAGAGACCGTTGACCTAATAGGCCTCAGACTTCTTAAATTGTGACGGCTTGCCGTCTTAGTGCCATCCTTGTCATTCGCAAGGCTAAAAGCCCCATGCAGTTGCGCTCTCTCAGACCCTTTGCCGAGATGTGCGCTGGTGGAGAATGTTTGGACATCTGCAAGAACACTTCGTCCCCGCTGTCACAAAATATCGCAAAATTATTCGGACATGTGTGACACATGGTGCGGATTCACACAAACTTACTCACCAAGGACTGAGAAATGGAAGCTCGCACACATGTCACGAGAAAATTTGTCGAAACGTTGAATTGCTCAACGGGACAATGATGCCTGGACGGCTGCTTTGCAGTCCACCCAGTGCAGCAAAAGTCTATTATCCGTCGCAGTCAGAAGTGTGGTCATTAATCAGCATGAAGAATACCAGAACTAAAAAGAAGTGTAGGCTGTTGGTTCCAAGAACATCGTCTAACGGCTAGGTGGCAAAAGAATCGGGTGTGCCAAAGAATCTGCGTTTTGCTCTCAGTGAACAGAAGCCATGTCGCAGCAAATCTTCTCCCCGTCGAAAACACACCTTGACTGTAAAGGAATAATCATCCACAACAATGCTAATTCCAGCTTTGGACTGAGAACTAAAAAGTTTTGATGTAAGAGATGGGCGGAATAGGCTCGTCATGCCTGGGATTCGGGCAGGGATGACTCACCCAGCCAGCCAGGTTGGATTCATAATATTTACTGCAACATGTATGCTATATATATATATATAGACTTATAGATATATATATTTGCTTATGATTTACTGCCTGGAACCGAAGAATTTGGTTGTTGAGTATCATCAACATGATTTAGCTGTTGAATGCAAACGACATCTCCAGCATCGGCATGTGTTGTGCAGGTAAGCATGTCTGCACTCCACAACCTATGCTTACCTGGGTTCAACTTGTCTTGAAGCTGCTTCTGCATGGGCGTGAGTTGTGCACAAAGTCGGCTATGCCATATGAAACATCACAGCTGGAAGCACCTTGTTTTCCTCATCAACAGCGAAATCAAGGAAGCAGCAAAACTGCAGGTCATTGTTTTCTTGCTTCGGGGTCCATCCTAAGACTTTCTTAAGTGCCGAGCCCACCGCTCTTGTGCGCATAATTAATGTAGGCGACACCATCAATTTCCTGCTTTGCAAAACAAACACTTTTGAACAATGCAAGCATTTCAAACAAAAAAAGTTGAATCCCAAAGGTCCTTGCTGAAGTTCTTGAAAGTGTGGCCATACAAGTGGCAAGAACTCCTGGCCCAAAATGCAGTGCCGGCAACGGGTCTCGTCTCTCTTTGTTGCCTCACCGCTTTGAACCCGGCCCATCCACCATGTGTTTCGTGTTCTTTTGGGGCGCCCTCGATTAAACATAAATATTCGTATTATATAAACCCATCGGATGTCACACCCTCCACCAACAGCACCTTTATGTGACATTTGAAAGATTGGGCCTTGCATCTCGCAGTTGATCATCGAGCTCGGCACAGCCCGAGACCTGCAGCTCTCCAGCAATCTGGTGGCATTTCAAGTTTCATCTCTTGCATGTAACAGGTCCATGGCCTTTGCACCACCATACTCGCGGGAGACCTTGGCAATTTTTTCCAGTCAATCTTAAAGTTCCCGTTGGTTGCGTAAGACGCGCACGGGCAAGGAACTTCTGGGAACAAAGTGAGAGAAGGTCAGAACTGTACCGTGGTACCTGACTTTCAACCCAGTTTCATCAATGTCACATTGGCTAAATGCTCTTTCTGGCGCACGGTCTCTTCAACTCAGCCTTGTTCAAAGCCAACATGTAGCGCCAAACCTTCAAAGACAGCAAACAAGCAAGTTTGGCTTTGGCGGCGGTCTCTGACAGCTCTGAAAAATGATTCCTGCATGAAGCTCGGGAATGTTCGGGGCATGGCATTCTGGTGCTTTGTTGTTCTTGTTGTTGTTGTTGTTGTTGTTGTTGTTGTTGTCGTTGTCGTTGTCGTCGTCGTCGTCGTCGTCGTCGTTGTTGTTTTTGTTTTTCTTGTTGTTGTTGTTGTTGTTGTTGTTGTTGTTGTTGCTGGTGTTGTTGTTGTTGTCGTCGTTGTTGTTGTTGTGTATGCGCCATGCCCACACACTCAGGATAATTTGTTCGGTATTGATTTGCGGTTTGCCACTCGCCAGCCTCAGTGAAAAACCTAAGAAGCCAGGACAAGGGGTAAGTGAGGTGGCCTGAACATCCAGGAAGCCAACGTTTGTAGTTAGGAGGCCAACGTCTCAAAGTTCGACTCCAGAAACGACGAAACAACAGGATGACGACGGGCACTCACATCTGCAGAACTCTTTAGCACCTTTACAGGAAAGTAGAGTCACAGCTTTGTCAAAAGAAGCAGGTACGTGGAGTTGATCAGACTCCATATCAGTCGTGGCACAGCCCACGAGGTTGCCCCCTGCACTGTTAAAACTGTGAGTTCCCCATGACATTTAGACATAGAAGATGCACACACCCGTCAGGGAAAAGCCAGGCGTTCCTGCAGGTCTATCAGGTGATCCTCCGGAGTGAAAAAGACACAGCGGCCACTTCCGGCTTCGCTAGCTCACGTGTGCTTGCTCAGGTTACGAGCCCAACCGAAGGGCGCTGAGCGCTATGGGCGGCTTTCTGAACTCGGGCTGATCGACGAGATCCTGGAGAAGCGCCACTGGAGTGTGGCGGACCGCCGCTTGGATGCGTTGAATTGAGGAAGAGTGAGGAAGACAAGATGCTGGGCGGCGCACGACGACGGCCTGAGAGCACCTCCTGTTTCGCTTCAACCAGGTCAAGGCCAAGGGACAGCGACTCCAGCCGCCCATCATCCGCCCAAGGTGGTGAATCGGCCCTTGATCGGCGGCGACTGGAACGCCTGCCACGGGTAGAAATCACGATCATCCTGAAAGGCCTGCGGTGGGGCTGCATGGGAGCTCTACACGACGTGCAACAGCCACTTGGCCATCAACATCAAGGGCAAGGTCTGTTAGCACCTCTCAGACCTAGCATCGATTCTGCATACCAAGGCGGGAGCGCTAGTAGAAGAATGGTAGTGTGGAAAGTCTATGTAGGAGATGAAGTGCCGCTTGAACCAAGAACTGAGGAAGGGTTGAGTCAAAGTAGAATCAAACAATAACACTGGGAGAATGATCGGGTAAATGGTAGTCGGCAAAAACACTAGGGGAAGACTCCATACAAATCGGTCGGTGAAAATGATCGTAAAATCACTGGCGAAATGGACGATGGCGAAACTTCATCTAAAACAAGTACAGCTGGAAGGCGGGAGCGAGAGCGATCACGAGTCGAAGAGGCCCCGGACCGTGGGAACGAGAACGAAAAGCGCCAAAATGCCATGTCAATGGTGTAATCGCGAAGTCGAGGATGAACTGCGGAAGTAGGGCCTGAAGAGAGAGGCGGTAGAATACGGAGATCAGGAAATTCAGTTTGGACCTGAAGTTCGGCGGCTAGTTGTTCCGGTCCTGGAGTGAGGACGCGCATCAAACCAATCGTAGTGAGGAGTTCCTGAGCGCAATAGAGACCAGCATTCATTGCCTGGGTGGGTTGTCGAAGAGCAGCGTGCAGGCTGCGAAGTTGAGTAAGAACATAAGGAGAGGTCACTTCATCCAAAATTCAAAAGACTTGTGAAATCTTGTGAAATTTGTGAAGTATAGTAGAGAAGCGGAAGCACAGGAGGGCCAAAGTCATCTCCAAGAGAACATGTACATGAATGAAGGAGTTCACGATGTAGGATGGAGCAACGCGACGAACTCCATCAACCGGAGCCGGGAGGAAGAGGTGGAGGTGGGGGAATCATTGCGCTAGCTGGGGCTTGGACAGGTTTGAATGGGCCTTGAGTGTACTACGGCCGCTGCGGCCTACTCTTGTCCGCTGTGGACTAGTCACGGCGTGCCACAGCCTGCCTACTCAATATCATCCCAGTCGGCAGGTTCAACAGGGCTGCGGTTTGCCACACACGCCAGGCCAAGTGAAAAGCCCAGGGGGACGGGTGTAAGTGGATTGGTCTGAACATCTTCGGGGCCTCGGGGTCTCCGACTCCATCGTCGAAGTTCGATCTGTATGGCGGCCGCTGCGGAGTTGTTTGGCGGCTTCAAAGGAGTCGGCAGTGTGTTTGGTGAGGTTGCGGAGGAGGGTAAGGGCGTGATATAAGTGAAAAGGTGAGGTTCCCGCAAGGTGTTTTGTCGGCGGCGGAGGCGTTGGAAAAAACGTCTGTGGGTAGCCAAGCGGGAGTAAAAGTGGGCTCGGTGTTTGGTGAATTGCCATCCTTGCGCCTTCAGTTTGAGACGCTGAGGGAGGAAAGGCCAATTCAGAGGAGGCATCCAGTTGGAGATGCGGTTGCGTTCGTGGATCCATGCTTGATCGTAGGTGTCATGGGAGGAGAGTTGGGTGGTGGTAAATTGGTCGATAGTGTTGCAAGTGTGCCAGTAGTTCTGCTGAGATTGGGATGTTGTTTTGAAGTTGCTTGAGCTTGGCTCTGCGGTTGTGCGCTGGCAGGCGCTGGGCTGGGTTCAGCGGCGGCATCTGGTGGAGCGGCAGTGGGATGGGAAGGTGCTGAGAGGGGTTGGAGAGCAGGAGGTTGAATTGATGGAAATTGGGCTGAGCTTGCCATACTCCCTGTTGTGGGTCCCAAGTAAGCGTAGTAGGTTGGGGAGTGTCCGAGGAGGGTTGGGGTGATGAAGGTGAAGGGGGCGGTAGCGGTTGAATGGAAGCGCTGGTGGGTTGGTGTCAAATGAGTTGTGTAACAATGGGGCCAATGTGGTATGGATTTGGATGTTGTGGAAAAGGTTGATGTGGTGGAGCAGCGGTAGCGGTACCGGGAATGGAGGCTGCGGTGCCATTGATGGTGGATATGGATAAGGCCACGGAAATTGCACGTTGCTGGGTTGGATCAACTCGCCGTTGTCGTCGCCGGCAGCGTCAGCAGCGGGGCGCCAGGGCAGCTCCGCACGAGATCAGTGGACACAGTCACTACGGTAAGATCAAAGTGAATTAAAGTGAATTAAATTGCAGAAAATTCTGAAATGGAACTCCGAAAAATTGAATGGTCGAAACAGGCAAAATGTTAACATGAGACGTGTAACACGAAGCGTGAAAAATTAAAATGCAAATGAGCTACGATAATGTCCGTTGGCCCGGCGGCGTCCGGTGGCAGAAAATCAGTTGATTCATGGGTGAAACAAAAGTCAAAACCAGAATCCACGGCGCCGGCACTTCTGACTTAACGTAATGCGCCTCTCTTGCGAGAGGATCACACTGTGTACCCAGTGGGAAGACACAGCGATACACACTTAGTCACAGGTTCATCCAGTAAGAAAATCCACGGTGAAGTGGATGAGGGAAACGCAAGGTGAAGTGGTCAGCGCAACTGGAATGTTTAACAAAGTGTTCACTTGTCTGCAGAAACGCGTCAGCTGAAAGCGGCTGAGGGAAACCTGTTAGGGGGGAGTAGCATGCGAAACCGCCATGAAGCAAACCGAGAGTGGAACAGCGTGATCAACAGTTGTTGGAGCAGGTACGCAGAGCTGATCAGGCTCTGCTTCCAGCACAAGTGGGTAGCTTCGTTGGGCGCAGTCTCCACTGTGCTCTGCACCCCCCTGCGTAGGATATGGTGTACTGAACTGAATGCGGTGCCACACGCCGGCCTAG